CTTTATCAAAAAAAAAAAAAAGCATCAAGTTCCAATAGTATTACAGTCTGAAAGAAAGAAGTCTTAGCCTTGCAAGGTTTGGGGGCGAATACAATTGATAATGGTTGGAAAGGGCTATGGGAATAAAACAAAAACTAAAAAGCACGATATGCTTGCTGACTCAGTATGGTAACAAGCTGCGGAGGGCAGGGCATGGGAACACCCAATCCAAATCTGCCTTTTCTTAAGCAACCAGGAAAGACTATCTCCCAGCTATCTTCAGTCTCGCAAACTGAACACCAGGCTAGTGTCAAATCTATTTAAAAGACCATGGATCCTGACTGCTGGGTCTGGGTTCAATTCAGCCACTCATTAGCTTAGACCAATTTGCCTCCCCTCCATGAGTCTAGTTCTTCCCATCCCTAAAGCCGGAATATAATTCCTGCTGGCAGCACACAGGATGGGAGCTTGGCATATGGGGTAACAGAACTGCTGAGCCTCACTTTCCCTATCTGTAAACTGGGGAGATAGTAAACCTTTGTGGCCAGCATGCCAACTCTCTCCTCCTGGCAATGCCAGCCCACTCCTTTGAGGAACCTCTTCTGCCAACTCCCAGTGGCTGCAGCGTTACCTCAGTGCTAGCCCCTGGGTCACCTGGCATGAGGATGAGCCAACCACAGAAACTTGGAAGAACCTGAGGCCAACACAGAACGAAATCTGGGCAATCCTGATGGTCTGAAAGGTCTCTGGATTCGTACTTGTTCTTTCAAACGTATGAGCTAATAAACCTTCTTTGCTTAAAAGCAACAACCAGCACCCCGTGCCCCAAATCAAAAACCAAAAACAAAAACAAATCCTTTTCTCCCAATTTTGCTCAAGGCTGGCAAACGGGGGTGGGGTGGGGTGGGAGGGGGGTTGCGGGGCTTTGTCTTTTGTCTTAAGTTTTTCACTCTAGCCCTGTGCAGAGAAACTCATGCAGCAATCCCACATTCTAAAATCCAAGCTGGAGTCCAAAAGGAGGACTAATTATCAACACCAAGTTAGGAAAGGTCATTATGGGGCCACCACACAGGTTTTAATTCTTTGTATGCTGAGGTTTAAACAAACAAAACAAATGGTCTTTAACTGAAACGGAAGATTCATAGTTGCCAAGAAAAGAAATTCTCACCTTCTAGAGTGCTAAACTCTTGAAATGGGAGAACAAAGCAGGTAACAGGATCTCCATCCCAGTATCTTCTGGAAGAGAGGAACTCCAAGGCCCCCACTCTCTGTTTTACGGGTATATTGAGCTGACCGTCTTCACTTGTCCTTCTTTTGGTCCAAAGCTATGACTCTCTGGTGGTGGGGGAGAAGTCGAATGTTGCTGGGTGCTCTTGGGCTCTCTGAGGCTCACTTCCTTGGGTACCCAGAGTTACCTCTACTAGTTGGGGTAACTAGGCAATGGGCCCAAAGAGAACCCTATAGGGAAGAATGAAGGTGTAAAAACTATTACAATAAAGACAGCAAGTTGTACACATGGGGTTATTGGATGATGAACCATGCTTTGGCCCTGGCCGGCCGTCCCTCTGTCAGGTGCTTTTAGGGTGTACTCGGAAAATGTGCCAGGTTGGGGTCAGACCTAGGGCTTGTTTTCAAAAGCCAGGAAGTAGAACCCTAGGCAAAACAGGCTTAGAGCTTTGGGAACTAAATCACGCTGCGCTTGGATTCTCAAGGGAGGCACCAGGGCAAGACCCAGGGAGTGGGAAGACCCAGGAAGTGCTTTTGTTTAAGAACAATCCAGGGAGGGGAGGATTTTACTCTTTCACTGTGAAAGTCTTCTAAACCATTGAATTATTTACCAAGACCATGTGATTATAACAAATAGAGATTGACTTACAATTATGAATCATGAAAAATAAGTTCTTTTCCTTTTCTCACCTAATTTCTGCCAGGTCAGACTCTTAGCTTTGGTGGAGGTCAGAGGAAAAAGTCATCTCACACAGACAGTGGCAGAGTTTTCCCATGAGAAGCCTTTTCTCCCCTTGTCTTACGCATCATCTGGTAGTTGGCCATGGCCTTGCCAGAGTGGCGAATGAGATCAGGTGATTAGCTCAATGAGAATCCCTGAATTGGGATTTGACCACGGTGGGAGCAAGAGCTCAGGCCCTACACAGGCTGGGCTGGGGGACACTGAATGGCCCAGGTGGTCCTAACTCTGTTGATCAACCTGTCGCCTGAGTTGGGGAGGAAAAATGGATGGGACCAGATATCGTGTAGGAATGGTCTTGGCCTGTGGTGGTCCTGAGGAAAGGGCATGACGTCTGGTGAGCCATTAGGTCATTTCACAAGTAAGGACATGCACGTGGATACTCACTCAGAAGCTGACCAAGTGTGTGGCCCGGGCAGGATGGCCCAGTAGCAGTTGAGAGCTGGTAGAGTCATGTACCTCAAAGGACTGGCAGGAGCCCTGCTCTAGACCACAGACCCCTCCACTGGAAACCCCAGCTGTGCCTGGAACATCACCCTCCACGGGTCCTCCATCCCCCACCACACAGGGCCCTGATGTGGGACTGAGTTCCAGATTACCCAACTTGGGAACACCGTAGTTACTCTTAAAGGACAGGAATCTTTGGGTCAATTCGTATAAATATCGGTTATATCTTAATCTCAGTGTTACTTGTTTCAGCAAAGTAAAACCCAGTCTCAGGTGGCTCTGTTTCGTGGAAGAGAGTTGTCTAGTTGTCCAAGTTTTTTTTTTCTCAGTCTCAGAATGATGTTCTGTGGAAATCCTGTTTCCCTAGTTTTTCTCACAGGATTTTCTTGCATCAGCCATCATCTTACTCCTGATTTGTCATTTGTCACTTTTTTTTTCTATACCAAGTACTCAGGGTCATTGTGGGTGTTGGGGGAGATCCTGGGCCCCAAATCTCTGCTCCTTCTTCCAACAGTGGTCCTGATCTCGGTACAGACAGTAAGAACAGTGCCTTACGTGGGCCCTACCTTGCCCTAAATAAATCAGCCTCTGATTTATTGACACAGAACACGATTTCATCAAAGTTGGAACCATCATCCACAACTGACAAGTTTACAAAAATTTCACACACCAGAATGGCTTTGTATTGCATTTAATTGGTGTTTGCTGTTTTCCTAGCTATATGGTTTTGTTCTTTTCAGACACTTGGCTCCCAGGATCTACAATTCGCTTCGCTGGGCGGCCCATACCAATGCTGTGACCAGACCATCGCTGTCTGCCACGGTAAGGCCTGCTGCCATTAGAAGTGCAGGATGCTTCTGACCACCTTCACGTAGTGGCTATCTGGGGGGGGGGGGGGCTTCCTCTGACTCCCAGGCTGCAGGAACTTCTTAATTGTAGGGATGTTACTGACTCTTGTTTTAAATGCCTGCGATGAGAAGCGGTAAAGTCAGAGCCTCGATAGCAGTCGTGACCTTTAACAGAACTTTGCCACGGGAGGGGGGTGCTTAGACTGTCAGCTTAGGGAGCCCAGTGGGTTGAATCTGAGTTAACCCCTCAACTGTTTGCTGGGGGTTTCCGGAAAGCTAATACAATGGCTAGTGTGTTTAGTGTGAATGAAATTATCTTCTTAAAAACTCATTGTCCCAAGTAGATGGCACATATTAAAAACTCTAAAAAATTCATATTCTTTGACCTATTAATTCCTGTTCTAGGAATTTATTATAAGGGTGAGCAAAGAAATCGTGTAGGGCATGAGCAAAGAAATCATGTTAAGAATGTTAGCAGGGTGGGGGTGCCTGGGTGGCTCAGTCAGTTAAGTGTCTGCCTTCGGCTCAGGTTATGATCCCAGGGTCCTGGGATCAAGCCCCACGTTGGGCTCCCTGCTCAGCGGAGAGCCTGCTTCTCCTTCTCCCTCTGCTGATCCCCCTACTTGTAGGCTCTCTCTCCGTCTGTCAAATAAATAAATAAAACCTTAAAAACAAAAAAGACTGTTAGCAGGGTGAACATTTGGAAATAACCTATGTTTCCAAGAAAAGAAAACTGGTCATATAAACTATGGTATGTCCTTACGAGGTATATAAGCCAGTAATTTAAAATGACTCATATATAAAAAGAAAGAGGAAGGTCCCTGTATTGACAGGGAAAGAGCTCTAGAATGCACGGTTTAGTTTAAAGAAAGGGGGGAAAAAAAAAGCCCAGGGCAAACAGAATATATTTGCTGTTTTGTGTAAGAAAGCCAGGAATGGGGATGAGAGAGAAATAGATGTTCATATTTGCTTGTATCTGCATAAGTAGGAACACTGGGAAGTTACACAGGAAACCAATAAAAGTGATTATAGGGGCAGAAAGGTGGGAGGGCAGTGGTGGGAATAAACTTTCTCAGTTTATGCCCTTTTTATATAGTTCTGATTATTCAAAAAGATGTGACTCTATCGCCTAATGAAAATAAAATGATATTATAGAAGAATATTTGCTGACCTGTCAAAACATTCATGATAATTTTTTTTAAATGTTAAAAGCGGGCCACAAAACAATATTTAGTATGATCTTATTTTGAGGAAAAATGTAAAATAATAGATCAGAGAGTCTAATCCAGTAGTAGCATTTGGCTAGTTAGGTCTTTTCTTTTTTTGTTTCATACAAATTCCTGAACTTTCATTTTTTCTGTAGTAAGAAAAAAATACTATTCTTAAACCACAAAACCTATGGTCACCTCTTAGATAAAATGTTTCTAAGGAATTGGAAGAGAGGCCAGCTCTGGTCTGGCAGTGGCAGGATTGAGAGAGGGATGTCTAAGGACCAGCAACAGCAGGAGATAGGCAGGGACACTCAGGCAGTAGCTCTGAGCAATGGAGGGACATGGTGGGGTGTCCTCAGCATCAGGGGCACTAAAGGGGGCAGAGTTGTCCCGTAGGCACTGGGGAGGGAAACGACAAAGACAGACTTGTCAGCCTTGCTTCATCAGGAAAAAAACACTTAAAGCACACACACACACACACACACACACACACACACACAAAAGGAAAGCACTAAATGTTTATGTAGAAACAAAAATAACCTATCTCTCTCCCATCATAAGGGTTTATTTCCTAATGATCCTGTAGTACGGAGCAGGAGAAAATTGCCAAGATGCAAGAAATAATGATTTTTTAACAAGTCTTCTTTTAAGATTGACCTGGAGATACATTTCATTTTAGTCTTCGTTTCTATTCACTTTGTGTGGCTGGGCTTTGTGTGGATGTGAATATGCTACCTTTAGCAAAGGGAAGTCAGAACAGAAGCATCGAGTTCTTCCACCATTAAAATCACTTCTAACAGTTGTATGTCTGCCCAACTGAATTTGTTGCCAACGAGAAAATCCTCTCCATGGTCTTTCAAAATCTACAGAAAGAGAAATAACAAAGAATATCAAATAAAAGTAAAGACTATTTTGCCTGGCTAAACACTTATAAAAGCAGGGAGTCTTCTGTCCAGATCAAATTTACTAAAGAATCTTTTTCTTGATAATCTCCAATACTGCTGGAAAGGATCAGATGAAACCAACTCTTACGCACTCAAACATTTCTGTAAATTGGCACAGTCTTGTTGGAAGTTTGTCAGTGCTTATCAAGACATTTTAGGTAGTGAAGGGCTGGAATGGAGCTCTCTCTTATAAGCCTACAGCTGGTTAAGTAAAACTATACCCACCAATATAGGGAGACACGAAGGTCATGATTAGTTAGGATCAGGCTACTATACCACAAGTAGAAAATAGTATCAGAAAGCCCATTTAACATTACAATTCAAATAATCATACAAGTTTTTTTTTTTTTTTTAAATGGAAGGCATTTCAACAACACTGTACATTGCTCCCGAATAAAGAGGAACTGGATCGTCTAGGACTCTGAGGTACTGGCAAGACTCTTCATTACAGCTTCATCAGTAGTAAATCATTGTTTCCCGAGACTGAGACTGAGGAGAAATGCCACGGAATTCTCTGTCTGGCAAGCCTTCATTTATGGAGCCCTCTGCTAACAAGGCTTTCTTACCATGTCCCATGCTGTCCTCTAAGTTTGGAAACTTACCACATGTATTTCAAGGACATTCGTAATTAGTATTCACTCCAAAATGACTTTGGGAAAGTTGTAAATTTAAAAGACCTTGTTCTTTTGATTGAGGCATGATTAGCCTCCAGTATTAAAGAAACATCTGACTCGGTGAATTTAAGGTGCCGATGCCCTGGGCTGCTGATGGCTTATTTTAAAAAATCAGAACAGAAAGGCTGTATCCTTTCGTTGCATTTCGTTTATTGCCATTCTGTTTTGTTAGAGGTTCCACATAATTCCGTCACGTCATTTGTTTTGGAACCCTTATTAAAGTTTTGGTTCGAGGACAAGAAAGCACTACCCTAGCTGGTCTTTTCAGATATTCATTCGGGAACTACTCTTCTGAAGTAAGTCCTGGATCCCGGCATCCCGGGAAGCGTCAGCGGGAACTTGCTGCGCCCGAAACCCGCCTCTCAGTTCTCGACCCTCTCTGGAATGGGAGGAGGAACTGGGGGGTAGCTGAAGGACGCCAGCAGCCGCGCCCCCTGCTCCCCCCGCCCCCTCGCGGGATCTGCGCGCGCAGCGGTCGCCGACCCGGACCCAGGCTCTCGCGAGAACACCCAGGCCTCCCTGCCCGGAGCGGGTGAGACCTTGCAGCCGCGAGGCAAACTGGATCCCCGCCGCCTACGTTTTCAAAGGGGGAAAGTAACGAGTTCTCGCTCTCAACGAGTAAAGCAAGATCCTCCTCTCTTTCGCGGGGAGTTTGAACGCAGCCAGCGCGATCGTTATCATGAGGTCCAGGGTGCCATCATGTAACTTATTGATCCTGACAAAAGAGCGCGTGACTCGCGTTCCCACGGTAACCTTTGAGTATGGGGTGTCCTACTTCGCCACCGCGATGGCGTAAATGGATATTGGGCCAAATGACTTTTCACATCCCTTCCCTTGAGAGTCCATGCCCGGGAATGGTTTCTGGAACCAGAGCCCTCCAAGGGACCCAAGGATACTAGGGTCTCTGGAAATGTTCTTTGGATGAAGGGATGTGTGAAAAAAATAAGCGCCTCCAAGTTGAAATCTGCCATAAGTAAATAAATACATTATTATGGTTTTAAAAAACCCAATCGAGGGGCGCCTGGGTGGCTCCGTCATTAAGCGTCTGCCTCCGGCTCGGGTCAGGGTTCCAGGTCCTGGGATCGAGCCCCGCATCGGGTTCCTTGCTCGGCGGGAAGCCTGCTTCTCCCTCTCCTGCTCCCCCTGCTTGTGTTCCCTCTCTCGCCGTGTCTCTCTCTGTCAAATAAATAAATAAATAAAATCTTAAAAAAAAAAAAAAAAAACCCAACCGAATTAAGTTTACCAGAAGTGCAAAACTATTAGTACCAGAGCATTTTCCCTTCTTTAGGGAAGATGTATAATTTAGCAGGTCTTACCCTGACCTGGCAACTGAGAAAGAAAAGTTTGCTTTCCTAGTCAGGTCAGACAGATACCTGGATTTCATTCTCTAAAATTTTCCTTTCATTGACAAACACAAAAAGCTAAAAACAACAACAACAATAACCAAGAATGGTAGATCTATTACCATTGATTTTTTGCGTGTTGGTGCAGTTATGCTGTGCAAGTTATCTTTACAACCAGTGTGCAAACATTAAGGGTTGTGTGTCTGTGTATCCCCCACTGTATGCTAATTGCTCAACAAATTTGGTTCAATGGTCATCTTTGTGTTTCGCATTTTAATATATATTAAAGCATAATTTACATTATTGTCCTATCTGAATTACAAATCATTTTTCTTACAGGTTAGATTGTTACCTAGCTGGTCACCTTTAATTGTAAAAAAACAACACATGCATCAAAACTATGAGAAACAGATTGCTTTTGCATACTACCACTTGTTTACATTATTATAAAAGGATTCTTTTCACACAGTTTGAAATTGCTTCTCTTGCCATATACTTCTAGGACTGTGAGTTAGGATGACTAAGTTCATTTTAAAGTTGGAGCAATGGAAAAGTTGGGGCATGCTGCTTCTTGTTATGGACTTTGCTTATTCCTATGATATACTCTCTCTCTCCTTCTGAACAATTGAATTTGGATCTTTCTCCCACCATGTCTTCTATATATATGTATGGACCATCCCACAGTGTCGTGCTTATGGTGATGAGATTTCAAGGACCATTAAAATGGCCCTTTGACCCCAAATCCAGATAAAACTTTAATAGTTGTAAGTCTTCGCTTTGTCTTTAGTTTACTTATCTCCTATAAAACTGAACCATTCCTGGGAGTAATCAGCCATCCTCAGTCAGGCCTAGCATAGTGTCCAGCACATAGTAGATGCTTGTATATATGTGCAAAACTGTGGACACCAATCTTCACCCCTGAGTAATTGTGATAAAACTCAACAGCTCCTTCCGTCAATAGATAGGGTCTGTTTTCTGGGTTGATCTCATGACTTGCTTTGACTAACGGAGTGAAGTGGAATTGGCCAGTTCTGAGCCTAGAACCTAAGAGGTCTTGTGTGCTTTCAGTCTCTGTCTTAGAACCCTCCCTAGCTACCCCAAGAACAAGCTCGGCATGAGAGGATGAGAGACACATGGCCCATTTGCCCCTCGGTTGATACTCAGCACCCAAAACCAGAGCCTCCTGGCTGACTATTGGTTGATCACAGACCATATGAGTGAGTCCAGCCAAGAGGAGTCAAGCCTGGCCCAGATAATGCCAAAGCCCACGTGACACAGTAATAAATGCATGCTGACTTAAGTCACTGTGTTTCAAGGTGATATGTTGCACAGCATTATTTGTGGTAATAGATTATGGATATAATGCTCAATGTTTGTTTGCTGAGTCAGTCATTTCCACCTTCATGTAGAATAGTTTACCAGATCATTTTATGAGAACATATTTTGTTAGGAGTGGAGAGAGAATATGAGAATGTTGAATGCCCACCACTATAAGTAGTAAAAGGGAAGAACTGGAGTATTTATTCACTTATGCATCAAGACGATGAGAAACAGATTGCTTTTGCATGTGGGTATGGCAAGAGCATCTCCCCTTTGTTCCCCCCTTGCCTTCTCCCCCCAGTCTAAGTGGAAAGGCTACACCTTAACTGGGTCCCAGGAGGTGCAGGACTACAGAGCTTAGATAAGAATCAAGTACAGACGTGAACACTATGCTACCTGTCTCCTTCAGGTCCTTCCCATACAAGTCGTACTTGGCAGCAAGGTAGCTGAGGATGACTCTAGTCTGCGTGAGCACCATTCCATCAATTTCAGTCATAGGCACTTGGCCGAAAAGCAAGCGTCCATCTGTGGATTGAGCAAAGTGAGGTTAGGATACTGTCCTTCCATGGTCCAGGTAAGCCTGTAGGAGGGTCTCTTCTAATTTTGTTGAGTGATTTTGTTTTCATCCAAAGTAGTAAGTTGAAGACCCCAGTTGTTGAGGAAATGCCTACCATTTGCTTTATGGAAAATCTGAGATTTGTTTGATGGTTTCACACATTTTTGTGTCTTGGTTAATCATGATTGTTTAAGACGCTATACATTTACTATGACTGTGTTATAGTATAAGTGCTTCTGGTTCTCAAAGTGCATCTCAGGGTGGTGGGTTGTTAAAAATACTCACCCCACTCCCCAGATATTCTGATTCAGGGGTGGAGGCTGGGAGCGTGAATTCTTTGAAAAGCACAGCAGGTATCACTCTAGGTCTATGTGGCAGCAGGACGGATGTGACAGCAAGAACCGTGGCAGATGAGGTCCAAACGCCAGCTTTAGCCCTCCCCAGCCATGTGACTATAAGCAAATGACCTATCTGAGCTTTAGCTTCCTTTGCTCTAAAACAATAATAATATCTATCTAGCAGGATTTTTGAAAAGATGAAATGAGATAAATAAACACTGAATACTGTCAATAATTAGTGTTTAGTAAAGTTAAATTTTCTTCTTTGTGAGTGACTGCCTATATAAGTAATGCATTTAAAGATGTACTATAAATAGTGCTCTTCATAGGTTCTTGAAGAAATAAATGGCCTTTAAATTTCCTTTACCACCTGTACATTGCTGAGAATCAGTAACTTTTTATCCAGAATAGGAACCGGATTTCACTAGTGCATTGGCGAAGGCCAGAATTAATTTCCCCAACTTCCAGTACTGTTGCTACTTGACTTAATGACAGGCAGTAGAGGATGGTGGAGAGGAAACCACCATAGGAACTTTCCAGGGAGCCAGTGTCCCTGTCTAGTTGATGACTTCAGGCTTCCCTGAGTCTATTTTCTGATCTGCCCATTGTAGAATTTCCTTGAGCAGGAATAAGATCATCTTGTGACCATGCTTTTGAAATATTAGTACTATTATTAATGGAGAGACTGCAAAATCTCCATTTCCTAAAAGCAGTTCTACATTTGTCCAAGACTGAATGAAGATCTAAACTGGGCTCTGTGCTACTGCTTGTTAGTGATGCAGAAGATATTAGATTATTAGATACGATCCATGCTTCTAGGAGCTGATGATCTTCAGAAGGATTTTTAAAACTCTCGGATCAAGAGTATAGGAAAGGATCTTGGAGATCATTTAGCTCACTCATATAATAGACCATGGCACTGTGAAGGCCAAGGGGGCAAACATGACTTGCTCGAAGTCACAACAGAAGTGGGCCTCCTGACTCTTCAGCCCACAGCCCTCTCTGCTGTCCCTCTCTGTCTCCTATTCACAAATAATGGTAATGCCCAGGAGAGTGTCTCAAGCACAAGAGTAGCATCACAGACTCAGGGAGGGCTGGAGGATTTCATAGGGTATTAGGGAGGAGTTCTTGCCGGAATGATCATGGAAAAGTTTCTGGAGATGCATTTCATTTACTTATTCAATACATATGTACTTAATCCCTACCACGTACCAGTGACTGGCCTCATTTGGGGTGGAGTAGGGCAGAAACAAAGAGAATGGGGAGCTTCAGGGATATTCCAGACAATAAAGTTCCTGGACAAGAATTGGGTAAGGGGCTAGCCAGCCTTCCCCATTTAGTGAGATCTACTGGTATACTGCATCTGTGACCACAGAGATTATTTTTATTTTATGGTAAAGAGATAAGATGCAGAGAAGTTAAAGGCCTTCTGCGAAGTCATACAGTTTGTAAATGGCAGGTCTGCTGATTACTAGTTGAAGGTTTCTCAAAAAAATAATATGCGTCAATTTCATGACTGTTTATCAGCAATGGTGGGGACATCCATGTTTCCTTAGGTAAGGAAAGTAACGTTGTGGCTATTAGAAGGTTAAGAAGCACTATGAAAGTACTAGTCTTTTCTCTTGGTTTGAGAAACTTTTCTAGGAAATCGTAAGGGTGAAAGACTTCCGAATTTAATCAAGTTTCGGTCTTTTCGATAGTCTTGGTTCTACAATTGTGACCTGATAAAATGGTGTCTGTTAATCTGTTGAAACCACTAAGAAGAACGGATATGAGCCATGAGAACTAGAGAATATTTTAGCCCAAATTCCCCTTCCCTTCCAACCCACTGGATCATTATTTAAGAATTCTTCAAGCATTCTTTTTTTTGATGTAGTGTTCCATGATTCATTGTTTGCATATAACACCCAGTGCTCCATTCAATGGGATGGGGAGTATTGAACCAGTTAGCTGAGTCAAACCCGGGCTACCATCTCTCACTGAGGTCTGGGTCAGAGTCTACTTGATAAGCTTTTATGACAGCTAAAGACACAAAGCAGATGATAAATTTAGCCCTGTGACAGGGTTACAGTGGGCACTCAATCAGTGTGAGCAGTCCTTTTTCTAATAGGTGTCACTCCAGAGTTCTGTGTTCTGTATTGAAATGAATATTTCCAGAAACAAATGTTTACTTTTTCCAGTAAGAAAACATTGAATAAATCTCAGGCTCACCCTTCAGCAACTTCTCATATTGTTCTGTTGTTTCAATAAATTCTTCTTCAAACTAGATAAAGGATAGAAACTTTGTTATAACTTTAATGTCCTCAGAGGAGGGGGGGGGGAGAGAGAGAGAGAGAGATTCACAGTATAAAATGCCCAATAGTTTTCAGAATGAAAATTTTAAAAGGAACCACAAAGTTGTCAGTTTCCACACAGCTGAAAATTCCTCCAATGTGTGTGTAGATTAGCTTCTACGGGCATGGGACTGGCACCCCTTTGGGGGTTTTGCCTACTAATAGGATATCCTCAGCCCCATTCATATTTTCCCTTTTCTTCACCTTAGCTCTTTTTTCTCTCCAAATTCTTGTCCTTTTCACCAGCTTCCCCCAGTGATTTCCCTTTTTCCATTCCTCTCTTTCTTTTCTTTTCTCTCTTGTGTGTCATTCTCTCTCCCTATCAGGTCAAATTAAATTTCTCTTTAATGCTCATACATCAATGAAAGGGATCTGAAGATCATTATTCAGGTGGGGTTACCATTATTTATTGATGGAATCCCTAAAGCTTCTGTGGGAAAGATTGATTTTTTTTTTGTCCCCTAAACCTTGAGATGCGGGTAGGATAAGGTGAACAAAACAAAGAAGGTCATGCACGAGTCCTTGTCTTAAAGAAGATGGCATTCTTGTATGTTAATAATTTAAAAAAGAAGATGGGGAAAAAGAAGTCTATACCTTCCAAATAACTTGTGAACATCTATGGAAAAGTCAATGGTTAAGGAATTCAGAATTAAGGAAAGATCCCAGTGGGGCAGACTTTTCCGAGGAAGGCTCAAGAGGAGACCAGACTGCAGCTGGGCCTAGGGTTCCAGTTGGCAGCCATGGGTAGAACGAGACTGAGTTGCCAGGCCAGAGCTGGAAAGACCACAGGAAATTAGCTGGTTCCAGTGAAGACAATAATCCAGTTATGGGTTTCCTCTCTCTCCTTTGTCTTATGAGTCACCAGGACCTCTTGGGTCCCTATGAAGCTTCCAGACATCTCCTAGGCTTCCACCCTCCCAACCTTGCTTAAACAGAGGCCTATGATCCCTCTCTCACCTCTTACAAAGAAAGGTAGGTGGAAAGGGAAAGAGTGGATCTATCTTGAAGGCACCATCCTAAATTTTGAAGGGGGAAGAGGACCACTCCAGTCCACCCAAATTACCCTCCTTCCTTTTCCCAGTCAGGAACCAACCTCCACTCCAGCTGCAGCCAGCAGCCAGTGGATCGACTCCATCCTGCCCCGGCCACGAAAGTAGAAGAGCTTGGGTTTGGTTGCCATGTCTCTGGGCTTGGGGTTCTCTGAAGGGCAAAATAAGAAAAATAAGAAAAGCAAGAGAACAATGATCACAGAAGCAGGATGGTGGTTACCTCCAGTGAGGAGAACGAGGGTTGTGATGGGGGAGGGATACGGGGAAGGAGACTGGAGTGCTATTAATAGTCTGTTTCTTAAACAGAATTAATAATCAGTCTTTATAACTAGTCTTTAAACTGCAAGTAAATGCACTCTCCTGTATGTATGCTCTCTCACAACTGAAGAAAAAAAAAAGAACAAATGATATATATCAAGGTATCAAGGTATTCCATAGATTTGAGAGACTGTCTCTGGTATTTTGAGACAAGAACCCAGAGTTAATATGATGGTTTCGTGAATGATCTTGCAAAAGAAAGTATTATCTAACAGTGTCAAGGAGTTGGGCCGGTTTGGACTGAAATGATCCGTGGGAGTTGGGCACGCTTTCGTTTCTGTCACAAGACTTTTCTGAGTGCTGGGAGAGGCACAGACAAAGGCAGGCCTAGTCAGGACCAGGATTCTAGTCTTGACCCAGCCACCAGTGAGCCAAGCAAACTTAGGCCCAGTTCAGTACCTCTGTCTGCCTGCATGTCTTCATCTGCAACTGGGAAGGGGAGGGATGTCCCTGGGTGACCCGCAACCTTTTAAAGAAGAGGAGAGAGCTAATGCAAGTGCACCTGATTGCATTTTCCACCTCGCCATGGCAAGGGCCACAGTGGTCATTATGTTAGTGACCCCTGCCTGTCTCACAGGATTCCTGAACATGCTCTGAGAATACTAAAAGCTCTACACCAACTTAGAGGACTGCTGGGTCTCCTTTTCTCAAATTTGCCGCTCCAACCCCATAGGCAACAATGCATGCTTCAAGGAAATGGCAAAAAAGCCAAGCTTCTGCCGCAGGCGGTGCATATGGGTGCTGTGGCTGGGAGGGTGCTCAGGTGTACCCGCGGGGTGACACATGGCTCTCGGAGAGGCTGACCTCAGCTTCCCAACGTAGCACTCACCATGGTCCTTCGCCCACTAAGCCCCAAACTGCCAAGTGTCTTGTCCTAGCTGGGATTCCACTTGAGGATGCTGCCTGTGCTAACAAAATTCACAAGAAAGTTAAAAATCAGAAGATCAGTAGCTCGGCTGATGCTGAAAACTTTGACTGTGAATACCCACAATCATATGACAACTAAGTTACTCGGGTTCACAAAATCTTACAGGTGTTTTGAAGCAATGTTGCCTACAACTACCCTCTTTTCTTTTTTTTTAAGATTTTATTTATTTATTTGACAGAGAGAGAGACACAGCGACAGCAGGAACACAAGCAGGGGGAGTGGGGGAGGGAGAGGCAGGCTTCCCGCCGAGCGGGGAGCCCGATGCGGGGCTCGATCCCAGGACCCTGGGATCATGACCCGAGCCGAAGGCAGACGCTTAATGACTGAGCCACTCAGGCGCCCCCACCCTATTTTCTTATATGTTGGATTTACAGTTTAACTCTTGGAAAAGTTGAATTCCTTCCCTCCTTTGTTTTTTTTAATATGGAACGTGTCACAAATGTATGCGTCATCCTTGCATGGAGCCATGCTAATCTCTGTATTGTTTCAACTGTAGTGTATGTGCAGCCAAAGCCACACTAATTCCTTTCTTGCTGTGGTCTTGTCATGCCCTGGGCACTGCCTCTGTTGGGTTGCTGTCAAGATTCATTCCTTTTAAGTTGCCTCTTTAGCTACTGAGTGTTGAAAGTTTCAGGAGCTTCCTAAAACCCCACTACTTTATTGTCCTGGGAGACACAATGATTAAAAAGGAACCCAAATTCCCTGATTAGAGAAATATGTTTCAGTGTAGTAACTCACTACCCACACACCTTAGAATGAACCTTACAATAAAATCAGTGTGGAGAAAATATGACAAGAGGGAGAAGAGAAATGGTGGCTTCGTGTTAACCTTTCCCCAGTGAGAAAACTCCTAAATTTTCTGGTCACCTACAGGGTCTCAAGTAGGATGTTTAAGGAGCAAATGTAAGCACTGTTAGAAGTCAGAAGGAGGAAGCATAGCAGTTCCCCAGCATGCCAACACAGCAAGATGCGCATGCCCAGTGGGTCCCAGTGCTAGAGAAACTCACATCCACGTGGGCCATGTTTCAGGTACTGACCAAGTGTCACGAAGGCTGCAAGGCAAACAAACAACCAACTACAAACATCTAACAGCAGCAAACTCTGGGCGACTGACAAATGATTCAAGCCCTCTCTCCGAGAACCCCTTCCAGGTCTCTGTCCGTCCTGCTGCCTTCAGACAAAAATAAAGCAATACTGGTGAAGTTAAGTATCACCGTCCATCTTGAGGAGCTCCATCTCTCCACTCTCTGCTTAGCACACAGAGCTCCAGTTTGACCCCTCTCCACTTGCTCTGAGGGACAGGGATGAGGCTGTGAATCTGGCTGGGGCTGGTCTCGGGTTAATTCCTGTTGTTCTGTGTCCCTGAAACCTTCAACCAGTCCAGATTCCGTTTGAAATAAATCTTATGGTGAAAGAATGTGGGACATAGAAACACCTGCGAATACCCTTTTTATAGTAATTCTATCCCGCTCCCCCAGTTAGCCAGAGCTGAATGTTATCCTTTGGTTTAGACCATGGATCCAGAAAAGGTCATGTCTGGTAGCCTCCAGAAAGCTGTTTCTAAGCAACCAATGGTCACTTAAAATGCAGGCTGAATGGTCTTTCTTCTGACTATTCTCTTAGTTATTTGAAACCTATGGAGATTAAAATCCTAGCCCCAGATTGCCCATGAGAGACAGATATCTAACACGACTACTGAGTGTCATAACGTGGAGGCTCCAGACATCATTTTGTTCCAGAGACCCAGTGAACTCTCTCAGATGAAAGGAGAGACAGCAAAATGTAGTCCTAAAATGATCAAGAGAGGGCAAGCTTCTTGCCAGCATGGCAGAAGCAACACTCAGAGGGACGCAGAGATATGAGCCCTTGGAGGTGCTGGAATAAAACAATGGGGAGCTGGCAGCATCAGGTAGACGGGAGTCTGAGTACGAGGGATGGAAGGTGGTGTGTTCCGTTGGGAGGGGTGTTGTCACCAGGTGAGAAGGGAAAGCTCTGTGCTCCTTAAGGTCTATTACCAAGAACGTGGATCAACAGCCCCCCTGGCTTCCCTGAGAGAATGAACACTGAGAAATCTGAGGGCGTGGCTGTGGATCTGGTCCCATTCATTTACAGCCCCTCTGCCCGGCACAATACCCAACCATGTCCGGTCCTCAAACGGAAATAAGTGTGTGTTACTATCCCCATCTTTTAAAGGCAGGGAGCTCCGGGCTTTAGAGTCATGAGTCCTCACTAATGTTGTGCCACGTTTTTCCACCTCTGTAAGTCGCAGTTTCCTAATCCTTAGAATGGGTGTGATGGTTGCACTGCTGACCTCAGGGGGCTCTTGTGAGGACTGAGGACTGAATAAAGTAATGGATAAAGTACATCCTGCAATGGAAATTTTCATTCCTTTCATGATAAATAAAGGGAACAAAGGAGAGTGTTTTCTGGATTTCACCCAAAATGCAGACACTCTGCGAACACAGCTGCTGGAAGATCCAGAACCCGAGGTGTTGCGCTCACCAGAAACAAGTTTGTTTTTTGTGCTGCTAATATTACCAACAGGTATATCCTGAATTAAACCTGGTTCACCAACTAGGCTTCCCGCACAGGGCTTATTACTTTGGGAATTGAAAGCCACCTCTTGGGACTCGTAAACTTCCCCCCTGTGCAGCTTCACCTGAGATGAGCCATGGGATGCACCCTCCCCCCTAACCCAGAGCCCTGGGGACCCATGCCTAAGGCAGGTGCAGCAGAAAGCAGTAACGATGTCATCACAACCTTTGGATAGTCAGAGTGTGGGTAAAAACATGCCCAAAATCTTTTAGAAAATGTGGGGGGGTGCCTGGGTGGCTCAGTCGGTTAAGCAATCCACTCTTGGTTTTGGCTCAGGTCATGATCTCAGGGTTGTGAGACCAGATCCCCTGTCGGGCTCCATGCTCAGCGTGGAGTCTACCTGAGGATTCTCTCCCTCTCCCTCTGCCCTCCCCCACTAAAATAAATAAATAACATAAAAAAAAAAGAAAAGAAAATGTGGAAGCACTCATATCTGAGTTTGCCCCAGGTACCAATAAAAGCAAATAACTAAGTTGAAATTTTAGCTCTATTTCTCACTTGAGCAAGTTTTTTAAACTCTGAGCCTCAGTTTCCTCATTTGTGCAATAAGAGTAATAATTCCTAATTCATGTGGGTAGTTATGAGGGGGAAATAAGATAATGTGTGCAAATCACTAAACACAGTAAGGACTCAAATAATGACACACACCCATGAACACATGCATGCCTGCATGCACACATAGGCACACACACATCCACATCTCCAGATTGCAGCAACATTCACGTGCGACAGAAAAGACTTCTTTTCTGAAATTTGCTTCTGAAAGGAAGGGAAGGCATTCTCTAGGAGTGTGATTTTGGACTATTAGCATCGGCTTCACCTGGAGGCTTGTTAGAAATGCAGACTCTTAAGTCCCTGGGTTAGAGCGACTGAATCAGAGCCTACATTTTTCACAAGACCCCAGATGATTCACTTGTATATTAAAATGAAGTTTGAGAAGCCAGGTCTGGAGAGAAAACCCAGCAAAACTGTATCTGGAGCTTGGTGTGTGGTCCTAGGTCATTCTTCTCAGGGACTGTTGTGCAGGTGTAAATTGCAGAAAATCGTGCTTGAAAAGTAGGGTGAGCAAATGGTGAAATGCCGGAGTTGTGTGTGGCTAAGAAGACAACGAAGGGCAGAGAGGAAATTGGGGGTAATTATAAGTGAACTTCCCATGGTAAATCATTTTTGTTGACCCCCTTTGAGGAGATGTAAGGCTTTCTTCAATCCCCAAGTTTAACCAAGTAGCAGGTGTGTAGCTTCCTTCCAATCCTGGGGCAGGTCTGGAAGAAATGTCAGGTGCCTGAACTATAAAAATGCAAGTTGGCTCAGAATTTGGTAATTTCCTTCATTTCTTCCAGTTTTAACAGTCTTTCTGATCTAATGTCTCTTCCCTTGTCTTCATTCTTTGCCCTATGCTCCTAAATGTGGAACACACGCATCGGGAGAGCAGCCAATCTTTTTGGGGTGAAAATTGAATATTGAATTTTCTGGATAATGAATAATTTTTAAGGGGTTAATTTAAGAGGCTGCCAGTTTTAGCAGATGTTTTGGGCCAGAATATAAGATGTCAATTTTAAATCTATTATTAATAGAAATAGCTATAACATTTACTTTAGCTTCTCCAGTGGATCAGAATGGCCTATCTTCATTACAACCAGCAGATCAAAATGTGTCACTGAGCAAAAAAAAAAAAAAAGAAAGAAAGAAAGGAACCTCTCCCAGATAACCCTGTATTCCCCACAGAACTTAAATTTGCTAGACTGGGGGTGCCTGGGTGGTTCAGGCAGTTAAGTGTCTGCCTTCGGCTCAGGTCGTGATCCCAGGGTCCTGGGATCGAGCCCCGCATCAGGCTCTCTGCTCAGCAGGGAACCTGCTTCTCCCTCTCCCTCTGTGCTCCCCCTGCTTTTGTGCTCTCTCTGTCAAATAAATAAGTAAAATCTTAAAAAAGAAAAATTGCTAGGGCGCCTGGGTGGCTCAGTCGTTAAGCGTCTGCCTTCGGCTCAGGTCATGATCCCGGGGTCCTGGGATCGAGCCCCACATCGGGCTCCCTGCTCCATGGGAAGCCTGCTTCTCCCTCTCCCACTCCCCCTTGTGTTCCCTCTCTCACTGGGTCTCTCACTGTCGGATAAATAAAATCTTTAAAAAAGAAAAATTGCTAGACTGGACAGATGTAGCATCAATTTAGTCCTAAGTACATAATGTTTCAGACAATATGTTCCAAGTTGGAAAATAGCAATATTAACAGCATAACCAAGACTTTCAGTAGAGCTTCAAAGTCTGGCTAAATATAGCCTTAAAGTTACATTCCATTTATAACTGACTAGGAATTATTTCTCTTCTATTTTCCTAACCTGAACTATTAGCAAAATATTTCTTTAAATTTTATTGTTATGTTGATCACCATACATTACATTAGTTTTTGATGTAGTGTTCCATGATTCATTGTTTGTGCATAACACCGAGTGCTCCACGCAGAACGTGCCCTCTTTAATACCCATCACCAGGCTAACCCATCCCCCCACCCTCCTCCCCTCTAGAACCCTCAGTTTGTTCTTCAGAGTCCATCGTCTCTCATGGTTCATCTCCCCCTCTGATTTACTCCCCTTCATTCTTCCCCTCCTGCTTTTTTTTTTTCTTAACATATATTGCATTATTTGTTTCAGAGGTACAGATCTGTGATTCAACAGTCTTGCACAATTCACAGCGCTCACCATAGCACATACCCTCCCCAATGTCTATCACCCAGCCACCCCATCTCTCCCACCCCCCCACCACTCCAGCAACCCTCAGTTTGTTTCCTGAGATTAAGAATTCCTCATATCAGTGAGGTCATAGGATACATGTCTTTCTCTGATTGACTTATTTCGCTCAGCATAACACCCTCCAGTTCCATCCACGTCATTGCAAATGGCAAGATCGCATTCCTTTTGATGGCTGCATAATATTCCATTGTGTATATATACCACATCTTCTTTATCCATTCATCTGTCGATGGACATCTTGGCTCTTTCCACAGTTTGGCTATTGTGGACATTGCTGCTATAAACATTGGGGTGCACGTACCCCTTCGGATGCCTACATTTGTATCTTTGGGGTAAATACCCAGTAGTTAGCAAAATATTTAATTAGTTGATTTGATATGTTGATTAGTTGAATTGGACATGTTATCAAAATGTAAGCCTCCTACATGGAACTAGTTCTTCCGAAAAACAGCTCAAGTACTTACCTGGCATTTTTAATACACAGCCCAAGGATATTCCTGGGTGGGGTGAGGGTGTGAGTCACTTCTGTAACAAGCTGGTTAGGGAGGTAGCTCTAGTCCAGCCTCACATGCCAAGCAGTTTCTCCAAAAAGCCCAATATTTCAGTTTTAGAAACTATATTTCCTTTCCATTAGGGTCTAATGGATGGAGTTATGTTTCCAAAACTAACGAGAGGTCGATTTCTACACCCAGGCTTATAAACTGAAGTGAAAAATGTACCTGAGCCATGAAAAGAGATGCTCACCTGCCCAGGTGATTGAGGCTGCTGGGAGAATAAACAGAGTGGACCATCACCTGCCCCACTGGTGTTTAACGATCAGGACAAGTCCTAGAAAAATTGTTTCAGGGCTTAACTAGAGACTCCTCTGTTTTTCAACTTAGCACAGACACCCCAGGGATGCAGGACCTCAGAGGAAGACCCCTATGTCAGATAATTTGGATTATATCCTCCAAGCATACATAAGACACCTAGAGAAGGAGATTTAGCCTCTCTGTTAGGCACCATGGCCCAGAGTGGGCACTGCCTGTGTTCTTCCCTTCAACTGCATACAAAAATACGAGATTTGGGGGCACCTGGGGGGCTCAGGCAGTTAAGTGTCTGCCTTCGGCTCAGGTCATGATCCCGGGGTCCTGGGATCCAGCCCCGCATCGGGCTCCCTGCTCAGCGGGGAGTCTGCATCTCCCTCTCCCACTCCCCCTGCTTGTGTTCCCTCTCTCACTGTCTCTGTCAAATAAATAAACAAAATCTTTAAAAATAAATAAATTACATTTCATGTGTGGTATGGGGATAGGAGGGCATTTTAATGTCTAATATGTGTCATGCATAGGCAATGAAAGCCTTTAAAAGGCCTTATCTAAATGTACATTAGCTATCTTGTTTTCATGTACACATCTACTCCATATAAAAATATGTTCCTTTTATTTGATATAGACAAGTTTAAAATAGGCATTAAATTAGCCACAAAGTTAAAACAATGGCTGACTGCAAGCTGCAAAATTGGACACAAAATATAACTATGCCCCCACACCCAAGAACAGTGTGTAAAAAATTCACCACTAACCTTCTTTCTTCCTGGCTCTCTCTTGGGGTGCTGTGGGGAGGTCAAGTGAGGGTTTATAACTCTTTCCTTTTCCATTGAATGCTCCACCCAACTCAAGGGATTAGCCAACCAATAAGCATTCCTTTGCAGCTTCACTTTACATGTGTTGTTTGTGTATTTGAGAGCATATCAAGTTGCCTAAGTAAGAAGAAGGATTTCACTGGCTCCTTGAACAAGTATTTACTGAGTACCACTCCATGCCAGGCACTATTTTAGGCCCTGGGTCTAAAATGGTGGGCATACAGCCCCAATTCCTGCACCCGTGGTGCTTACATTCTAGTTGGGGAAGACAGGCAGTGTCAATATATGAACAAATTAATGTAGTGTGTTAAAAATAAGAGTAGCAACAGATGATTATAGCTGATGGATATGACATCTATAACAGAAATGTTGTAAGGGACCAGAAGGAGGAATCGGGAATACTCTAAGATACCTGTGCTACCCATCTTATTCGAAAGTGGTCTTAGCATAGTTGTAAATCTGTACGGCAAACCTTCTGAATGGCTGGTGCTGGGTCCCAGCCTCATTAAGTGCTGCACGTCCCCCTCTGTCCGGACACCACAGCCCCCTGACATGTTGTTCTGCACTTTTACCCCTTGGTTTACCTGCTGGGACTTTAGTCGGTGAGCCTCCTGGTTCCTGTGCTTGGGTTCAGCCCTGAACCCTCTCGCACACTATTGTTTTTGAGGATCAATTTCTCGTGCCTGTCCTCTTACTCTATGACCAGAGAGTCTGGTGGCTCAGGAAAATGGGGGTGGGGGTGCCGTGGGCTGAGACTAAAGGGTAGGACTCTGGACCCAAAGGGGACTGGGACAAAACTGGGGTAATGCTACTCACGGCAAGATGGGGGAGGAGCGAGACTTGTTTTCAGTATGGGAACGGCACTGCACCATTTAAAGTCATTCACCTATAGGCAGGAAGGACAGGGGCGCCTGTCTTCATTTGAGACAGCGTGGCCTCTTGCATTTATTGCCTCTAATCCTCTAACTCAGTGCAGAAGCCAACCTTTCTCTCTGGTTGTTTCCTCAGGGCCAGCCCCCTGGTGTTTAAGAGAAGTACAACCCAATGATTACAAAAAGGCTTAGCGTCCACATATTACTAGGCAATGGTACTGCATAGTAAAATTCTTCCAAAATCATAGTATAAAACAGCGCAAATTTGCCACCATCCCACACAAGTGCATAATACAGACCCCTGGGTGTCATCAAGTCAATGTCCGGTTCCTATGCATAAATTAATCGACACATAAGTATAAAACGTTTCTGTTCCCTAAGAGGTTAGAAGGAGCGGTCCAAAAGACCACCCTCACTTCTAACACCAGCTCCAAGTTGAGGGGTGCCTAAACACCAGCCTTAGGTTCCACAATCCACTAGAACTCACAGAACATGTTGAAAGCTGTTCTATTCACAGCTATGGTTTACTACAGGGAGAGGATACAGATGAAAATCAGCCAAGGTGGCTTTGCTGAGCAAAATGAGTCTGGGACCCAGCAAAGACACCTGGGTGGCTCAGTCGGTTGAGCGTCTGCCTTCGGCTAAGGTCATGATCTCAGGGTCCTGGGATAGAGCCTTGCATCAGGTTCCCTGCTCAGCGGGAAGCCTGCTTCTCCCTCTCCCACTCTCCCTGCTTGTGTTCCTTCTCTCGCTGTGTCTCTCTCTGTCAAATAAATAAATAAAATCTTCAAAAAAAAAAGAAAAGAAAGAAAAGAAAATCAGCCAAGGGGAGAGAGGCCCAGGGCAGAATCCAGGAGAGTTGCACACATAGAGCTTCCAGATGTGCTCTCTCCCATGTAATTGTGGACAGCTTTCACTCATCCTGGCAACCCTGTGTGACAATCAATGCAAGTACCTCAGTGTTTGATTAGAGGAAAACCAAGCGCAGGCGTCCTGGTGGTTATCTGTGTTCCCACGTCCACTGTGTGAGCCTCTGTTATCACCACGATACTGGAGGAGCCATGGCTTGGTCGCGGGTGCAGTGCCAGGCAAGCCTGAGGAGCAGTGATGGCCCAGGCTGCTGCTTCTGAGAGAGAGGCCCAGGCTCCCGCTAGGCCCCTAAGAGCACAAGCCAATAAGAAGAAAATGGGGGCGTGTATCGTTCAGTACTACCTTGCCCAAAGACAGGTCTGGCCGTTGCTTCTGGGAGTTGATCTCTAAGCCGTTGGACTGTCATGTCTGATGGGAACACCTCTTTGCCTGGAGGCCCTGAGTCAGCCAGATAATAACAGCCAGATTTAGGGCGAAAGCTTTGAGCCACACCAACAATGCAGGGTAGGGTGGGCACTTTGGGTCATGTGGTGTTAGCTCCACTCTGGAGGGCTGGAGACAGACCAGCCAGATGGGCCGTCAGTCATCCCCAAGTCATGGAGTGCCCCCAAAGTCTGGACTCAAGGCTCCGGTGAGCTTCCCTGGTTGACAATACTCTGTTGCTTTTCCTCAGTTTTTTAATTTCCGAAATATCAGATACGCTAAAGGCAGCAATTCTTCCTTTTCCAAAATAACTTCGGCTCTTTACACATCTCTCCCCTACTATGTGCTGAACTGTTCTAGAGCAGGGGCTCTGTTCTAGGGTTCTGCCTCCTGGCACCCTGCCTGGCACATAATAAGTGCTCAATTAATATATGAGACCCAAATCAACACAGGCTAAAAGCTGTATTAATAAACCATATTTTTAGTTCTGAAATGCAAAAAATTAGCAGCCGACAAATAACAAAGTTGGGTAGTAAGAAGATAAAAGTAATATCTATATTACTTTTTTATTACTATTTTTATTATATATACATATATATATATAAAATTTTCTCATACATGCATCAAAGACCACTGGGGGGGATACACAAATGATAACTACGTTTGCCTGTGGAAACCGAGTAGCTGGGGGCCGGGGCCGAAAAGACCACTACCAACGCTATACCCTCTTACGCTCTTTTGATTTCTGAACCATGGGAATATGTTATAGATCCCAAGAAATGTAGTCCAAAAAAATTCTGGCAACAGGGCAATGATTTGTAAATTCTTTATTTTGGCTAATATTGACTGCCTTCATTACTACCACAGATTTATTATAGCTGAGAGGAATTATTCACTAGATATTCTGTTGTTATTAAACACCAAAAATTAGGAAGAGATGGGAGGGCTTTTAGAAAGGGATAAGGAGAGGGGGGAAGAAGCTCAAGGGAGAACACAAGGTCCTGCTCAGCCTGGTTGTCAGGAAATGAGTCACATCAGATCTAACTGAAATGCCAGTCTCTCTGAAAGGGCTTTCAGGAAAAAGGTGCGTTAACAATTATTCACCGGACAAACCAAAAGGTCAATGAATGTTTCTAGAAAAGATCTTGGCATGAAAGACCCATCTAAGGAACAGTTCTACATAGCACCATGACAGAGCTGGGACATCAATTAAGACGTTATTATGGACACAGCAATTTCTAGAGGCTAACTCTCACTCACAGATGTATGTGATGTTTTATGGCATAAAGATGTTGTAGACGGTTCTCACGTAGATGTCATCTGGAGGAGGCTTCTTCTTGCTGCCAGGTTCCAGGAATTTCTTAATTGTTGGGATATTACTTATTTTCACTGTGAACTCCTGCAAAAGGAAAACACAACAGTCCGAGGTTAACAGCAAAGGTAATGGTAACTACAAAAATACAGTTGTGTAAAATGGCCCATGAAAATTTGTTTGAGAAGTATTTGTTACAGGAACCCAACCAGAAATGTAATCCAGCAGCTGCTTGGGGTCTGATCTCTTGGTGTGACTGTTTATGATCTCTATCCACAATGGCTGGGATCTAGACCAGGTGTTATGCATGCAAACCTCATGGTTCAGACCAACATGTGAATTTTTTTCAGATAGAAAAATAAAAAAAGATGCTTAGATTAGGATTATGATGCTTGCTTAAGAGAAAAAAGGAAACATCAGTACCTTAAATATACTCATCTACTCAGAGAAAATGCATGAGCCATTTAAATAAAAGTACTTTAAAAGGTCATCATATGGTGCAATTTCCTTTTTAAAATTCAGCATCCTTGGACTTTTTTACTCCTATTAGCAAATGAATCCTCTTTCTGGCTATGTATAGGAGATGTCCAGTTGCATTTTTTTTAATGGCCTAGGGCTCAGACACCAGATACCAGGTATTTATGTAAACCATATTTATGGAAATCATATTTTCCATTCACAGAGTCAAATCTTACCACTTCTCAGTAATTGAGAAGAAAAGTCTATTTGAGCTAGTAAAAAATTTCAACCATATGAAGAAGTGTATATCCATCAAATACAGTTATTCTAATAAAATTTTTCAAAGAGGTCATTTATTAAAAAAGCTACTATAAATGTCTATAATGTACAAAGAACAGGCTTAAGCATGCACACAAAGATACACAAACGTACATACATGTATCACTAATACTGACAAAAGCGAATAGTTATGTCAAAGCTATGTAAATGACAAGTGTCTCTTTTTATCACTCAAACTCTTTGTATCATCTAATTTCAAATACTATACCAATATTTAGAAGCTATTTCTATTGGATTTATTATTTCAAGATTTACCTGAGGTCATGTATAATAAAACTTTTGTGACTTCTGACTTTTTTTTTATACCCTTTAATCAGTATAGGAATGACCCTTTAATTCAACTCAGATCTGGTGTTAGATTCTGAAGTCCTGGGGCACCTGAAGGCTCAGTTGGTTAAGCAACTGCCTTAGCTCAGGTCATGATCCTGGAGTCCCGGGATCGAGTCCCACATTGGGCTCCCTGCTCAGCGGGGAGTCTGCTTCTCCCTCTGACTCTCCCCCCTCTCGCGCTCTCTCTTTCTTTCTCTCTCTCATTCTCTCTCTCAAATAAATAAAATCTTAAAAAAAAAAACATTCTGAAGTCCTTTAATTAAAATTGTATTTAGGTGCAGCCACTATGGAAAACAGTATGGAAGTTCCTCAAAAAATTAAAAATAGAAATACCATACAATCCAGTAATTCCACCACTGG